GTTTGATCCCTGGGTTGGGAAGATCTCCTGGAGAAGGGAATGGCAATCCACTCCAGTATTCTTGCCTAGAGAATTCCACGGAAGAGGAGTCTGACAGGCTACAGTCCATGGGGTTGCAAACAGCTGGACATGACTACACTTTCACTTTTAAATAGAAAATTGATGGTTAAAACTATTCAACAAAAGAACAGGCTAAGGACAAAGCAGAAAGCTTGCCATTACTGAAAGTTTTGATGTAGAAGCCACTGACTATCCACTGACTATTAGATTGCCATGAAAATTAAATCTGCTCACTATGTAAAGCATTTCATACTGTCTGGAACACAGAAACAGCTCAATAAACATTATATATTATTACTATTACCTAAAAGTTTAGTAAACTGCAAAATCATCTGGACCTGCTGATTCTTAGGGTTCTTTGATTTCTCTGGTTACTGGGCTAGTCATATTTTTGTTTACTTGAGTCAGTTTTACAGTTTGTTTTCTTCCATTTATCTAGTTTTTACGTGGTCCTACTATAAACCTGTATACTATATATTCTAACAAACAACATTATTATCAGTGTCTGTTTCACTTCTTGCTCTATGGGCCCTATGAGTTATTTAACTCCTCTCTCTCCTCTTTTCCACTATGATGGAAAATTACACTGGTCCAAAGAATTTTCTACTCTCTTAATCTTTTCAATGAACTTGTTTGCAGCTTCACTGATCAAGAATTTTATTCTGCACTTTACTTGTATTCATTTTTGCTTTTAATTTTTTTCTGATTACTTCTTTTATGTTTACTTATGCTTCTTCTATCTCCTTGAGTTAAATGAACAGTAAATTCACTTTCAGTATTTCTTATTTTCTAATAAAAGCACTCAAACATACATATACACATATATGCACACTGGGAAAAAGAAGACATTAGTATATGATAAACTCTGTGGTGAAGAGGCAACTGGTTCCTCCAGGGCAACTGTGATAGAGGTTGTCATGTTGTTCCTTTAGGACTGTAGGGTGAAGTTTCTGACTGCAGCCAGGCCTTCTTGGGAGATTCTGAAAGCCATCATAAACCTTTACTAAAAGTCTTTCTGTTTAGACTAGCCAAGGTGACTCAGTTTTGTACGATCAAAGTCAGAACCAAACAACTAATAATGCTAAGACAGAAAAAGAAAGAAGCGAATCAGCTCATCTGCTTACTAGTTAAACGGTACATCAAAGAAAAGAACACATCTCAGGAATCTTTTTCTTTTTTTGAACACAGATGAAAGCTAATAATAACTGTTTCACAGGAAAATTATAAAAACATCTTGCTGGAAATTATCCTTATCTGTAGTATATGCTATAATTTTCCTAGGAAGACACTATTTTCTTTCAGAAAGTATTGATTTTCAAACAAAAAAGAATACATTTAGGAGGCAAGGAACATTTAGAGAGATACAAGGAAATGGGAAACCGAGCACAAGTTTGTAAGGGATGACTTCCCATAGGTAAATACTGACAAGCGATCTATTGAAAAGTACTATCATGGTTTCTTACAATTTTGCACATACTTGGCTAAGTCAACTTTGACCCTAAATGTTTGAGTAATTGAGTCCAGAGGTTCCTTTACATTGCCGATCCTCACCAGAGGATTTGGCCCTTTCTCCATAAGGGGACATTTTTTCATTTTTGCAAACCACACCTAGTAGTGGCTGAACAGAGAGGAAGACAGAACAACTATATTTCAGTGGAATTTACACAGCAATACTACAACTACCTTACATAATTCCACTATAAATAAATACGATGATAGCATAAATAATGCTTTTATTCTGTATGAGTAACTTCCATTCAAATATGCAAAAATTAGTAGACAAGTATTTGCTATATATTAATACAAACTCCTTCCTTACGTTTCTATAAAAGTCTAAAGAGCAAATTTAATTATGTTGCAAATCTAGTATGTGCAAACACCGAATAAAGAACTCTGTTGGATAATGCATGTTGTCATTTAGGGGTTCAAAATACATATGTTGACAGAGACTCTCTCCTTAACTAACACTTAACCAGGCTGCTCTGAGTCCTCTACCCACCTACCTGCTACTCAGTTGCTAAGTCGTGTCTGACTCTCTGCAGCACTATGGACTGTAGCCCGCCAGGCTCCTCTGTCCATGGGATTTCCCAGGCAAGAACACTGGAGTGAGTTGCCATTTCCTTCTCCAGTGGATGTTCCCAATCCAGGGATCAATCCCTTGTCTCCAGCTTGGCACGTGGATTCTTTACCACTGAGCCATCAGTAGTTAGCCACCCATCTACCTACTGACCATTTTTAAAATTGACACTCCATTTATAGTTATTACAGAATACTGGCTATATTCCCTGAGTTGTACAATACACCCTTGTAGCCAATCCCTATTGTCTGACGTCAAACCCAATTATTTGACAAGGCCTCAGCTTAGCCCAGCAGTAGGCAAGAGTCCTACGAAGTCAGTTCAGCAAGAATATCCCACACTTGGTATCTAATTACTCAGATCTTCAGCAAGAGTTCCCCTACCCTTGATTTCTCCTCTTAGGAGTTTTTCATCCGCTGCCACCCTGCCCAACTTGCTCCTTGGTTATAACTCCCTAGTTATAACCTAGTTATTTATTCTTACGCTATAGCAGCATGAGTGCCCTGAGATAAATCAGACTACAGAGGCTAACATGCTCTCCAGGCTCTTTATATTTCCAAAGTGGCTTTTCAATAATTTTCTCAAGCTATGTTTCCACTTTATCAAGGCATAAAATTAAAGAAACACTTATCAATGCTTATTATATGCTAGCTAGGTTGTATGTTTAAGAAATCTTAATCTTCACAGCAACCTTGTTATTTTTTTCTAATAAAATTAACTAATGTACACCCTGAATTTCAGTGGTTCTAAAAATTGCAAGACAATTATTCCTTTGCAAAGAACATATCATAAGCACACTACAATATATCAAACTATGTAGGCTAACTATATAGGCTCTTTTTCATGTCAAAATACTTTTAAGCAATTTTCCCAGGATGTCTCAGAAACAAATTAATAATTTTATTTTATGAATAATGAAAACAATACTTTGGCCTTAGCTAGCATCTAAAATAACTAGGCTGCAGCATGATTGTACTGGATATTGTGAATTATTTACCATCTAAATTGGACTGCCACATGGTCATCACAACCTATTGGTAGCAAATACTTTAAAAATCAGGCCAAAAAATCTTTTCCCAGAGGCTAGCTACTAATCCATTTGACATCAGTGTTTTTTTGTTTTTTTTTTTGACATCAGTATGCTAAGGTTAACTCCCTGCAACAGGAGAGGGACTTACTTAAGGCAATTAAATAAATTACTTGAAGGCCATGTTTCAAAGACTCAGAATTCATATTTGACAGCTGAGAGAAATCTATTTTATAATTTATTTCATCCAAATCTATTTTAAAATTTAATAATGATCATTATTAATATTTACTAGACTGTTTACTCTATGCCAGACACTGTCTTACGAGCTTTACACAAATCAACCCATCCAATTCTCTTATCAGTCCTATGAGGTAAAGACTATTTTAATCCTTATTTTAGTAACAAAGAAACTGAAATATAGAGACTTGAAGCAACTTTGCACAAGTTGACCCAATTAGGAAAGGGCAGTCAGGGTGCATTTTGTTATACTGCCTCTTGAGAATGGGTTTTACACATAGAAACACAAACATTACAGAAGGGCATACAACAAAATTCGTGTCTTCCTCCTCCTGCTTCTGAGTTTGAGCTATCATTTCTCCACTTCACCACCAAATGAACGCATGTGTGATATGTATATGTTTGCATATCATTTAAAAACATAAATAGATGACTATTACTGATAAATATTTACTCTTTTTTTTACTACATAAACAATATTACATATACACATGTAATTTTTTTTCACACATAATTTTTAAATTTGTTCAAATTTATTTATAAAATAAACTCTTAGCAATAAAATTGTTGGGTCAAAGATGATGAGCATTACAATTCTGACACCTACTTCAAACTATCCTACAAAAACAGTGCACCAATTTACAGCTCTACTAACAGTATGAATACTCAAAATTTAACTTCTACTAAACTCAAGAGTGTAAATTCATTAAGTGTTGATGAATGAACCACTGTCACTTCCAATTTTAAGAAGCACCCTTAGGGACTTTATGATATTATGAACAAAAACATCTTGGAAAGAGCACTGAATAAGAAGCTAGAGAACAGTGGCAATTCTGTTACCACAGTTAATGAGGGCCAATAGTGTGTCTCTGCACTCTCTTCCATGCCTCCCCGCAAAGCAAAGCAATATCCAACATGACCAACCTCCAGGTCTTCTAGTTTCCCTATATTTCTTAAACCATGGCTATGTCTTGTTACTTTCTTTTTTTTAAACAAAAAGTCTTAACTGATATACCAGATGCCTTGGGTAAATTCTATAAACCTCAACTTTTTCATTGGTAAAATGAACCTCATTTGGAGTTTAAAGGCTTAGGTATTAATTCTGGCGTTGATCTCTTCTTAGTTGTATTATTTTGAGCAAGACATTTTACCTTTCTAAGGCTTCATTTATTCATGTGTAAAATGGAGATACAGTGAAGAATATGTGTTTATATGGTATGTTACACAATAGGCACTCAAATGAGAATTGTTATCATTATTACTATTACTCATTAAAAAGTATAATTTTTAAAACATGACAAATTTTAAAGTTCCAAATTGGTATCTAATGTTCAATAGAGTTTTTAAGAACTTCTCACCAAATTTAAACAGATTTTGTCAACAATAACTGCTCATAAATTCTGAGCATTTAGATTAAAGACAAAAGGAGAAGGGGGCGGCAGAGGATGAGATGGTTAGATAGTATCACTGACTCAATGGACATGAGTTTGAGCAAACTCTGGGAAATAGCAAGGACAGAGAAGCCTGGTGTGCTGCAGTCCATGAGGTCACAAAGAGTCTGACACGACTTAGCAACAATAACAAATACATGTATTTATGCATGTATTAAGCAACTGGTAACCATCAATGGACAGGTTTGACTATCCATGAGGTAGGAGGGATCGTTAACCCCACTTTGCAGATGAAGAAACAGAAGCAGGGAGTAGTTAAGTGACTTTCTCAGAGCTGCGATACAGACACAAGTAGCATGACCACAGAGCCCACTCCTCTCTTAACCACTTTTACTGTAACCTGTTTTTGTACTGGATAGAGCCATATATATTTTAAACACACACACACACACACACACACTTAGTTTTCAAGCTTCAAATTACATATCTTTATTCTTGAGCAGGCCTTTCCTCATTCTCACTCCCGTGAGACTAAAGATAAGTCAAAGTATTTGGAAACAGATCTTCATATACAACTGTGTGAAGGACTAAGACAAATACGTTGAAAGGACAAAGGTTATAAAAAAACAGTAATAGGGAAACGTTACTCTGTTATGTTTTACTGGATAAAACAAACAAAAAGAATGATTGTCTTTCAATACTCTATACACCCCTCCCCTCTGACTTATTCTGCTGAGGTCACACTGCCTTCTCTCTAATTCTTCAACTCACCAGCACTGATTTCTGCTTTAGGACTTTTGTTCTGGTTGTTCCCTCTGCCTGGAAGGCTCTGTCCCCAGATCTTCCCATGACTGGCTTCTTTTTGTTATTCAGCATGTGTGCGTGCTAAGTTGCTTCTGTCATGTCTGACTCTTTGAGATCATGTAGACTGTAGCCAGGCTCCTCTGTCCATGGGATTCTCCAGGCAAGAATACTGGGGTGGGTTGCCATGCCCTCCTCCAGAGCATCTTCCAGACCCAGGGATTGAACATGGGGCCCCTATACTGCAGGCATATTCTTTATCACTGAGCCTCAGTTCAAGTATCTCCTCCTCTGATTCTCCCCAGTCACTCCATAGAGAGAAACCTACCTCTACCCCAGTCTTTCTCTTTCCCTTTTCCTACTTTATTACCCTGACAGTACTTGTTACTATCTAAAATTATTTATTTATTGGTTATATGTTTATTACAGCTCCCTCACAACTGGAATATAAACATCTCCGAAGGCAGGGGCTTCAAGTGTCTTTTCCTGCACGCTGTTTACTTTATCTAGAGCAGTGCCTGATACAGTAGGTCCTAAACAAATATCTGTTTAATGATTAAGTAAGGAGCACAGAATAATGAGCAAACTACCTTGATGGTAATAGAGACAAGGGACTAAATATTAGATAAAGTCAGAAAGAAAACAGAAAAAGATGACTATTCCAGCCGTACTTATTCAGTTTGGTTGTAATACGAATATAAGCAAGATAAGGTAGCTGGAAATTTAAATGAATGGAAATGGATAAATTAGTATGTGTACCCCTAATGGCCATATTCAATTAATGTATTTTGTTAAGAACAACTCTCTGGAGGACATTCCCTTATGGTGAGCTAATCTTTCTTCATTCAATGTTCTTTTCACTTATTTATACCAAAATATAATTAGGAAAGGAAAGATAACTGATGAGTAATCTACTAAATAATATTTTAAATTTAAATTCCAAAGTAATTTCATTCTGGGTTAAACCAAAAGATTTTTATCACCTAATTCACTTGGCAGAAAATTTGTCACAGAAAAGTTTTCACAGCATCCTCTTTCAGGAGATAGATTTCTTTTGTTCAGATATTTTAAAATGCATCTTCAAACTTTAAACTCTTAGGGCTTTGAAAATCTCTTCAGTGAATAAAACAAAATTATCTGAGAGGATACTTACCTTTCAAGTACCGTAATATTAAACCTGAATAGTTCATACATGTAATTAAACCAAGTATACTTATTGCTGCTTCCCTCTACCACCTCTTTGTTTTCAGGCAGGTTGTTGACTTTGTTATTATATGTACTTATCTTTTGGGTTACTTAAAGGTTGTCTATTTAAGCTGAAGTTCAAACTGGGGTAGTCAAATGGGACAGGAAAGTGGTATCTCTAAAATCTTGGGCAATACAGCTAAGTTCTATAAGGAAACAATGTTTCTTGCTATTTCTTCCCATATGTGAGGTAAAATGAAGCACATCACTTGGCAGCCATCAGATTTGGTTATCTGCATTTTCAGTAATCAATAATACCTTAAAATGTAAGAAAAAGGGGAAATTTCTAAGCACTGAAATTTTTATTCAAGACCAATTACATATAATCTTCCTATTTTTAGATAACAGAAGGAATAAGTATTTTAGTAAAATGCTATTAAGCTATTTTATTGATTTTTACCTAATCCAAGAATCAAAACAGACTTTGAGTCAGACACTTGAAGATGACTAAAACAAAAATAAGCAATATAAGAGCATAACTTATGCTCTGCAGGTCTACAGAGTAAATACTATCATTTTAATGAAAATTATAAACACTGTAATACAAGTTTCATTCAAAATAGACGGAAGAGTCTGAAAATCTCATTTCCCCCCATCATTTTATTTTCTTTTGTACTGTTGTTTGATATTGTCTAACTCAATGCCAGACACATAGGAGGAAGTCAACATATCCTTTGGGAATGACTTTATTTCTTGCCTCCATACACTCATAATCCATTCAATGCCAGTCAACTTACTGATACTGGATATAAACTAATAACATTAAAGGAAATCTAACAAAATGACCCAGGCATATATACTTTTGCACATAAGTATCATTTAACATATTAAATCTTCTTTCCTGAAAAAGTTTTAAGAGATAAAATTTCATTTAATGAAGGCACAGTGTGATACCTAACAATTTGGTCTGGCTGTACAATACCTACTGTGAGATCATGTTAAAGTCAATCCACAACCTATACTATAGTGAATATTTTAAGAAGTTGGAGAGGTAAACATCTAAATTAGCTGTTAAAAATAGGGATGAAAAATATAAATCAAGATTTCAAACAAAAAATATGTACCCTTACTGAACTATGAAGCTTTCATTATTCTAAAATTACAATATCTCCATCTGGTAATCTGACATGAACAAGCTGATAAATGCAATCAGAACAACAGTATATTCTCGAAAAACCAGAAATTTCCTGAAAGCCTGGAAAAATATGTCCACAACAGATGGATCATTTAGAAAATAAATACATCAATCTGTCAAACGGAGCACTCGTCTAATTTCCTAAATTAAAATCAGTGGGAGCTCTACTTTCCAAGAGTCTGGGACATTAGAAAGGCCAAAGAGGAAAAACCTAGAGATGCACATAAACATACTTGCTATGATCTAGAGTGCATACTGTTAGGTTTCCTGTTAAACATACTCAACGTAGGTAAAGTCCTTACCAGTTAACTTCTTCACAGGTTGGAGCCGAACACTGATAGACTGATGGGTGAGTAAGGGGGAGGATGGAAGAGAGCGAGACACGCCCTCCATAATCCGAATGTGCTGCATACCTTCACTCACGGGAAGTGGCGGGACGGCGTAGTCTGGCTCAAAAGCACAGTCGCTTTCTGTGGAGATGCCACCTGTGATACAGGAGAAGACAGGACAAGAGAGCTGGTGAGAAGAGGTTCATCTCCTAAAACTCTTCTCTATTAAAATTGACCTTTCTGGATGACTCAGCACAGTGTATACTGATACTGATTCTTCACTCTGAAAAGACAAATAAGGTATTCCCAACACACTCGTTCACTTCTCCATTACTGGGTACTTACTTTGAGGTCTAGCACTAAGAAACTGAATAAGTATAAGATAGGATTCCTCCTCATAAGGTTTCACTGTTTCATGAGCAACATAGTCACATAAACAATAATTACAGGGGACATCCCTGGCGGGCGAGTGGTTGGGACTTCACCTCCAATGCAGGGGGTGGGGTGCAGGTTCAATCCCTGGCTATGGAGCTGGGGTCTCACATGCCTCATGGCCAAAAAAACAGAACATAAAACAGAAGCAATATTATGACAAATTCAACGGGGACTTTGAAAATGGTCCACATCAAAAAAAATCTTTTAAAAATAATATAGTACAACACAACAAGTGTTATAATTAGAACAACAATCTTCAATTGTCCCTGATAAGACCAACATGAAAGAAGATATTCACCTGCTTGACAATGCAATCTGTGCAATTCCTGGTAGGATCATTGTAACTATTTCTTATTCTCTTTCTCCAAGACTGCACATGAAAATACAAGTGGGTAAGACTAACATTATATGGTGATTTTTGAATCTGCCCAAACATTTAAAAAAAGAGTAAATGATACGTTGTTTACTTCCATGGATATGCTGTTGGCTTCTACTTCTGGTAACGGCAGATTACATACTTCAGACCAATTTTGCCCTAAGAAAACTACAACTGTGTATGTTTTTAAAATCTTCGTAAAGGCGCTGGAGAGTTAACAGCAAGATGAAGAATTACAAGAAGACCGAGACCTGGTAGGTGGGGTCACTTTTCATTCAGTGGCGTCTGAAAGGCTAAGAGGTCACTGACAGTTTTACAGAGCTGGGAGGACAAGCTGGGAGACCCAAGTTTCTAAGAGGGAGCTGGTAAAACTCCAACACTTTGTTTGGAACCCCAAAGGGCTACATTCTAGGAGCGAGTATAAACCAAAATTAGACTGGCCTTTACAGGACTGAAGCTCAGCTCCAAATGTGTACCATAAAATTTAATCAAGGCAATCTCAGATTGCTTGCTCCTGCCAGATTGCTTGCTCCTGCCACTCCATGGGGTCACAAAGAGATACAACTGAGCACATGCACATGCACGTAATAGTATTTTACATGTTTACAAGCAAAGAGGTATATTGTTAGTGTAATAATTCCCTAATTAAAGAAAAATCACAAAAAATATATATATCTAGAAGAATGCATTTGATTTAATGAAATACTTCTTTTCACTTGAAATTTTCCAATGCTAAATCTTGGCTGATAATTTTAGAATCTAATAATACTCCTTAAGGAATAATACTGCAATTAGTCCAGTATGGATGTCCTAGTTTACTTTTCTACTTAAAAATATTTTCCCTCTATCTTCTCTGCCCTATAAATTGTGCTTGAACTCATTGTAGCTATAGAGAAAAAACTATAAAAACATGTTTCAGTGAATACGTGGGGCATGCTCTTCCCATGGAAGATCACAGGGCTGCAAGAGACCAAGTTAAATCAGAAGAGGGTATTTAAGACCTCTGTTCACTAATACTTCACTGGCCCAAGTCCAAGTAAGACTTCAGTGGAGCATGGAAATACACTTGGCCCATTTCAGTGGGAACTACTAAAAAGCTACACAGTAAAAGGAATGGATGAATAGTTTTATAACCAGTAAGGAAGTAAAAAATTTGAAATCCAATATACCAAGCCTGTAAGATGGTATCTGGGGCTTGCCAGGTGGCACTAATGGTAAAGAACCCACCTGCCAATGCAGGAGATGGAAGAGACAAGGGTTCTATCCCTGGGCTGGGAAGATCCCCTGGAAAAGGGCATGGCAACCCACTCCATTCTTTCCTGGAGATTCCCATGGACAGAGGAGCCTCGCAGGCTATAGTTAATAGGATCGCAAAGAGTAGAACATGACTGAAGCAACCTGGCACGCATGCAAGATAGGATCTACTGGCACCCCAAACTATCCAATCTTCATTTTCTATCTTTCTTTTTCCTACTACTCACTTTGTCCTGCTTCAGAGTAAAAATTACTAAAATAACGTGATAGAGATATGGGCAGAAAAAATAAACTGCTAACGTCACAGGAAAAAATTCAATTATGCTAGATACCTGGTAATTAAGCATTCAAAAGTTGCATTGAGAAAACACAAGGATATCAAGTATATGGACACTAAAGTAATGTTAGGAGCACTTATGATTCAATAAAAATTTCAGTCTTCACTAAGTCTTATATTTAGTACAGATGATTATGAAATATTAAAGTTCAAGTTAATAAAGAAATTCTTTAGCCAAAGGCCATACCTGTTCTACAGAACTGCCTTCTAATTTTTCAAGTTGCATAAATGACCACAAATAAAACTTATAAATCAAAAGTATTTAGCACAATAATTCACTAAACTGTACATATAATTCAATGAATTATCATGCTAAAGGCTTTTGATAAAATTTGTGAATTTTCCAGTTTAATGTTATTAAAAGCTTATTCTTAAAAAGTACTCAGAGAAACAAAACACAGCACAGTGATAAACTTAAAATCAATGGGCTTTTACATATTTCATAAACAAAGGAGTTTTGCCTAAAATTATTCCAAAAGTCCTTTTAACTTATATCACTCCATTACTCAGTAATAGTCTCATAACAAGTCCATATATCAAGCAGGAAACAGGCCAAGAGAAGAGTAATAACTAGCACAGGGTCATGTATCAGACAGCATGACTACCTAGGTAAAAAATTTTGAAAAATCTACCAAAAAAAAAGCCACTAGAAAAAAAAGGTGAGTTAGGCAAACTCAAAGGTTACAGAGTCCATATACAAGAAGCAGGTGTCTTTCTATATTCCAGCAATGAATATGTGGAAAATAAAAAAATTAAACCAGTAACATTAAAATAGCATCGTTAAAAACATGAAATCAGAAATAAATCTAAAAAAAATATGTATAATATTTGTATGCTAAAAACTACAAAACATTGATGAAAGAAATTGATGACCTAAATGAAGAGATATACTATGTTCATGGATCAGAAGATTTTATGATGCTAAGTATCAAATTGATCTATAGATTAAAAGTAATCCAAATGAAAATCCAGTGGGCAATTATTTTTGTAGAAATCAAAAAGCTGATTTTAAATTTTTACATAAAAATAAAGGGACTAGGATAGACTAATTCTGAACAATAAAATCAATGTTTGGACTCTCGCAGTACCTAACTTCAAGACTAATGTAAAGTTACTGCAATCGAGAGAGCAGGTGGTATTGGCAAAAGAAATGGACACAGAATCAATGGAACACAATAACTCAGAGGCACTTGCAAAGTTCACAGTCCAGGGGCACAAGCTCACCAAAATCAAAGGACTAAAGATGCTGCCCACCCTACTTCCACATTAAAATTACACTATTATTTACTGTAGTTAATTTTATCCAGTATACTAAGTTCACCCTTCAGCAGAAACTTACAAGACACACTTAAATAACAACAAACAAACAAACAAAACAACCCAGTACAAGGAGATAGTACATGCATCAGACCAGCCTCAGACATGGCAAGGATGTTGAAGTTATAAAATTGTGGATTTAAAAAATGAAATACTTAGGTATAATTCTAACAAAATGTACAGAAGATCTATCAGGAAGACTACAAAACCTCTTGATGAAAGAAGTCAAAGAAGATCTAAAATAAATGGAGAGAAACTCCATGTTCATGAATGCACAGAATCAAAACTATAAAAATGTCAATTCTCCTCAAACTAATAGACTTAATACAAACCCAATTAAATCCCAGTAATTTATTTTGTTGACCTTGATTCTATCATTAACGTGGAGAGGCAAAAGACCCAGAATAGCCAACCTGATATTTGAAGGAGAAGAACAAAGATGGAGGACTGACACTACTGAATTTCCAAGACATACTACAAAGCTACAGTAATCAAGACAGTGTAGTACTGATGAGAGAATAGACAAGGAAATCAGTGCAATAGAATAGAAAGCCCAGAACAGACCCACATAAATATAGCCAAAGGAGCAAAAGCAACACAATGGAGAAAAGATTAAGTCTTTTCAAGAAATGATCTTTAGACAACTGGACATCCATAATCTGAAAAATAAATTTAGACATAGACCTTACATCCTTCACAAAAAATTAACTCAAAATGGATCTCAGAGTTAAATGTAATGTGCAAAAGTGTTAAAACTCCTGGAATATCACGTGGAAAATCTAGATAACCTTGAGTATGGTGATGAGATTTCAGAAACAGTCCCAAAGGCATGATCCATGAAAGAAATAACTGATGATCTAGACTTCATTAAAACTGAAAATGTCTGCTCTGTGAAAGACACTGCTAAGAAAAGGAGAAGCCAAGCTTCATACTGGTAGAAATATTTAAAAATTTAAAAATATCCAAAGTATACAAACTCAATGACAAGAAAAAAAAATTAAAACAGGGGCAAAAGACCTGAACAGACACCTCACTATAGAAGCAAATAAGCATATGAAGAAGATATTCAACACCATATGTCATTCAGTTCAGTTGCTCAGTGGTGTCCGACTCTTTGCAACCCCATGAATCACAGCACGCCAGGCCTCCCTGTCCATCACCAACTCCTGGAGTTTACTCAAACACATGTCCATTGAGTCAGTGATGCCATCCAGCCATCTCATCCCCTGTTGTCCCCTTCTCCTCCTGCCCCCAATCTCTCCCAGCATCAGGGTCTTTCCCAATGAGTCAATTCTTCGCATGAGGTGGCCAAAGTATTGGAGTTTCAGCTTCAACATCAGTCCTTCCAATGAACACC